CCCCCCGGTGTCCCCCCCGGTGTCCCCCCCCGTGTCCCCCCGGTGTCCCCTCCATTGTCCCCCCCCGTGTCCCCCCCGTTAATTGGCGCGCTCGGGATTAGCCGCCCCTGGCCAATGTCACCTTTGTCCCCCGGATTAGGGGGTGACATCACGCGGGTGCTACTTAAGGCTCCCCCCGCGGCGGGGGTGCCTCCCCTGCTGCCACCGCCGCTGTCCCCTGTCCCCTGAGCCCTGACCTCTGTCCCCTGTCCCCTGTCCCCTGCTGCCACCGCCGCTGTCCCCTGTCCCCTGAGCCCTGACCTCTGTCCCCTGTCCCCTGTCCCCTGCTGCCACCGCCGCTGTCCCCTGTCCCCATCACCGCTGTCCCCTGTCCCCACTGCTCCTGTCCCTGTCCCCAGAGCCGTGTCCCCTGTCCCCAGCACCGCTGTCCCCTGTCCCCTGCTGCCACCGCCGCTGTCCCCTGTCCCCTGAGCCCTGAGCTCTGTCCCCTGTCCCCTGTCCCCTGCTGCCACCGCCACTGTCCCCTGTCCCCTACACCGCTGTCCCCTGTCCCCTGTCCCCACCTCTCCTGTCCCTGTCCCCATCACTGCTGTCCCCTGTCCCCACTGCTCCTGTCCCTGTCCCCAGAGCCGCTGTCCCCTGTCCCCTGTCCCCACTGCTCCTGTCCCCTGTCCCCAGAGCCGCTGTCCCCTGTCCCCACTGCTCCTGTCCCCTGTCCCCACTGCTCCTGTCCCTGTCCCCAGAGCCGCTGTCCCCTGTCCCCAGCACTGCTGGCTCCGTGTCACCAGGACAGGTACGGCCGGGCGGGGGCGGCTGGGGGGGGACACGGGGACAGGGCCACCGCAGCCCTGGGGACATCCCGGGGTGGGGACAGGGCCACCACGACCCTGGGGACATCGCTGGGGTGGGGACAGGGCCACCGCAGCCCTGGGGACACGGGAACAGGGCCACCGCAGCCTTGGGGACATCCCGGGGTGGGGACAGGGCCACCGCAGCTTTGGGGACATCCCGGAGTGGGGACAGGGCCACCGCGACCCTGGGGACACGGGGACAGGGCCACCACAGCCCTGGGGACATCCCGGGGTGGCACCAGCTGACGGGTGGGGACGCGATGGGGACAGGCCACCGGCTCGAGCCGGGGACATCGTGGCCAGCCCCGGGGCGATGTCCCCTGGCAGGGGTGGCCCTGTCCCCCGGGCTGTCCCCAAGGCCGGGCCGGTGCCACCCTGTTCCTCTGACACCGGGGACCGTGGGGGACACAGGGACACGGCGGGGGTGGCACCCAGGTGTGCCAGGGGGGGCTTGGGGACACCGGGAGGGCTCCAGGGGACACTGGGGGGCTTGGGGATACCGGGGGGGACACCGGGGGGACATCGGGGGACGCGCGGCCCTGGGGGTTGACGGGGGTGACGCGGACAGCTCGGTGTCGCCCTGGTGCCACCGCTGTCCCCGCTCTGTCCCCCCGGTGCCATCGCTGTCCCCGCTGTCCCCCTGGTGCCATCGGTGTCCCCCCCTGTCCCCCGGGTGCCATCGGTGTCCCCGCGGTGCCATCGGTGTCCCCCCCTGTCCCCCGGTGCCATCGGTGTCCCCCCCTGTCCCCCGGTGCCATCGGTGTCCCCCCGGTGCCATCGGTGTCCCCCCCTGTCCCCCGGTGCCATCGGTGTCCCCCCGGTGCCATCGGTGTCCCCCCTGTCCCCGCTGTCCCCGCAGCCCCCCGGCCATGATGTCGTACCTGAAGCAGCCGCACTACGGAGTCAGCGGGCTGGGCCTGGAGCTGCTGCCCCCGCCCGTGGGGTACCCGGGTACCCCAAAACCGGGGGGACCCCAAAACCGGGGGGATGGGGAACCCCGGGGACCCCAAAACCGGGGGGATGGGGGACCCTAAAACCGGGGGGCTGCGGGACCCCGGGGAGCCCAAAACCGGGGGGCTGGGGGGCAGAGGGGACCCCAAACCCGGGGGGAGAATGAGGCTGAGGGTACCCCAAAACTGGGGGGATGAGGGACCCCAAAACCGGGGGGATGAAGGACCCCAAAACCGGGGGGCCTGCGGGGAGCCCGGGGACCCCAAACCCGGGGGGAGAATGGGGCTGAGGGACTCCCCCGTGGGGTACCCCAAATTCCGGGGGTCCCTCCCCACTCCGGGGGTCTCTCCCCACTCCCGGGGGTCCCGAGGGTCCCTGCCCAACACGGGGGTCTCTCCCCAAGCCCGGGGGTCCCGGGGGTCCCTCCCCACTCCAGGGGTCCCTCCCCATTCCCGGGGGTCCCGGGGGTCCCGGGGGTCCCTGCCCAACACGGGGGTCCCGGGGGCCCCGAGTGTCCTTCCCCAAATCCCGGGGGTCCCTCCCCAAATCCCGGGGGTCCCGGGGGTCCCTGCCCAACGCGGGGGTCTCTCCCCAGTCCGGGGGTCTCTCCCCACTCCCGGGGGTCCCGGGGGTCCCTCCCCAAATCCCGGGGGTCTCGAGTGCCCCTCCCCAAATCCCGGGGGTCCCTCCCCACTCCGGGGGTCCTTCCCCACTCCGGGGGTCCCTCCCGGGGGTCCCAGGTGTCCCTCCCCAAATCCCGGGGGTCCCTCCCCACTCCGGGGGTCCCTCCCCACTCCCGGGGGTCCCGGGGGTCCCTGCCCAACGCGGGGGTCTCCGCAGGGACCCCCCGCAAGCAGCGGCGGGAGCGCACCACCTTCACCCGGGCGCAGCTGGACGTGCTGGAGGCGCTGTTCGCCAAAACGCGCTACCCGGACATCTTCATGAGGGAGGAGGTGGCGCTGAAAATCAACCTGCCCGAGTCCCGCGTGCAGGTGAGGGGACACCTGGGGACACCTGGGACACCTCTGGGGACACTGGGGACACCTGGGGACATTGGGGACACCTGGGGACATTGGGGACACCTGGGGACACCTCTGGGGACACCTGGGGACACCTGGGGACACCTCTGGGGACACTGGGGACACCTCTGGGGACATCGGGGGACACCTGGGGACATTGGGGACACTGGGGACACCTCTGGGGACATCGGGGGACACCTGGGGACATTGGGGACACTGGGGACACCTCTGGGGACATCGGGGGACACCTGGGGACATTGGGGACACTGGGGACACCTCTGGGGACATCGGGGGACACCTGGGGACATTGGGGACACTGGGGACACCTCTGGGGACATCGGGGGACACCTGGGGACATTGGGGACACTGGGGACACCTCTGGGGACATCGGGGGACACCTGGGGGGACACCTGGGGGGACGTTGGGGACATTGGGGACACCTGAGGGGACACCTGGGACAGCTCTGGGGACACTGGGGACAAGGGGGGGACACGGGTGGGGGGGGTCATTATGGCCGCGTGTCCCCATGTCCCTGTGTCCCCTCGTGCCTCAGTTTCCCCCCGTGCCTCAGTTCCCCTCCGTGTCCCCCCGTGCCTCAGTTTCCCCCGTGCCTCAGTTCCCCCCCGTGCCTCAGTTCCCCTCCGTGCCCCCCCGTGCCTCAGTTTCCCCCCCGTGTCCCCCCCTCCCCCGCCAGGTGTGGTTCAAGAACCGCCGCGCCAAGTGCCGCCAGCAGCAAGCCCAGGGCTCGGGCCCCCCCAAACCGCGCCCACCCCCCAAAAAGAAGAGCTCCCCCCCC